AAACTTTCTGAGCCATGCTTACTTATAATCGGCCATGATTCAGGGCAGCTGCACGCACTTGGAAGGTGCGGTGGACGATGTGATGCAAGCAAAGGCCTGGCACAGTGCCCAGCATGCAGCAGGTGCAGACCCACGTGAGAGGAGCAGCAGGTTGGTGGATGGGAGACAGGGTGGGCAAGGGAAGCAGGAAGTGGGATAGGGAGAAAGAGCAGTAAAGTCTAGTCTTAGATGTTAAGGAGGGTTGGCTCAGAGGGTTGAGAGAAGGGAGGGACTGCAGAGAACTGTGAGGGGGATGAGGCTGGAGAGGAAAAGAAAGGAGTCCATTGTGAGTTGGGGTTGGTCTGATTTTATTGTCGTAAAGAAAACTGGAATCATTTTGCAATGGACTTTGGTCATTCAATTGCATTTTTCTGAATATCATAAGATCTTGTCGTGGACACAAAATCACTTTTAAGAATGACAGGTTTATTGATTTTTCTCTTCATCTAGTGGATATATTTTTCCCTCCTGTGTTTTTGGACTCTTCAATTCTTTCATTTAGAAGGGAATGTAGAAAGAGTATAACTCACAGCTTTTGTATTATAGCTGAGGCTGGAGCTCCAAAAACCTGTCATTTGCCAGAGGAAGAAGACACGTTGAATGTGAGTTAAGGCAAGAGCTTGCCCTAGGGATTAGGAGGCCAGTTCTCTGTTCTTTTTACCATTTATGAAATGAGTTATCTTGGCTCTTTATGTCATTTCCTCTGGCTTCAGTCTCCTCATCTGCAAAATGGGGATAGAACTTGCTCCTTCATTTCTGGCCTCATCACACTATTTGAAAAACAAATGAGGGAGTTTGTGAAAGTAGTCTGAAAAGGCAGAAGTGTTGGGCTGATCTAAGGAACTACTATTCATAGAGTTATTCTTTAACCTGGGCTGTGGTAAGATTTTTTTTTAAGCTGCAACACATCCAGTGACTGACAGAGAAGCCCCTGATTTCTTATTTCTTTTTTTCCCTTTTTTTTAATGACCTCATCTCTCAGTATCAGCAGTAAGAGCTCCCCATTTCAATGGGAGACATTTGTCAGGGCTGCCTGGTGGTCCGTGTTGGACAATTCCTGTTTATTTGCAAATGCTTCCTCAGAGAAATCATTGAGGTCAAAAAGCACAGTAAATATGAAACCGTGTAACGTCCTGAGATAAAAGATTATAACTTAGTGGAGGATGGTATCTCAGAGGCCGCTGTCTCGTTTGGAAAAACAAGCAAACGGTGACTGCAAGTGCTGGGTTTGGGATCAGAAGGCATGGGCTGTGCTGCTCTCTTAGCTGCACCTGCACCTCACTTGGTCTGAGCCTGTGTATTCTTCAGAAATACAAGAGTGAGATGCATATATGTTAGATCCCAGAGCTCCCTCCCATATATAAGATGTGTGTGTGTGTGTGTGTGTGTGTGTGTGTGTGTGTGTGTGTGTATCCAACAGAGTCTGTTACAAAAGAAAAAGCACCCCAACACCTCATTCCATATCCTTATGAAGGGACACAGATCTGCCATTACAGATCATTAAATTATTATGTGCCTTATGCTGATGACTCATGTCTGCAAAGCACTGAAACTATATGGGACTGTAAAATGGTTACTAAAAGGGACTGAGCATCTCTTCAAACTTGCTTCTGCGCCCTTGAAAAGAATATGGACCTTATATTAAAGAGGGCAAAAGATCAGATTTGAAAAAACAGGATTTTTTTTTTTTTTTTTTTTTTTTGAGACAGAGTCTCACTCTGTCCCCCAGGCTGGAGTGCAGTGGCGTCATTTTGGCTCACTGCAAACTTCACCTCCCAGGCTCAAGCCATTCTCCTGAGTAGCTGGGATTATAGGTGCTTGCTACCACACCTAGCTTATTTTTTAGTAGAGATGGGGATTCATCATGTTGGCAGGCTGATCTTGAACTTCTGACCTCAGGTGATCCACCTGCCTCAGCTTCCTAAAGTGCTGGGATTACAGGTGTTAGCCACTGAGCCCGGCCTGTAAAAACAGGATTCTTATCTCAGTCTTACCACTTTCTGCTTGACACAGATTGTAAGTGGGGATGAATTTGTATCATTTTTAAAAAATTCCTGAGTAATACCCAGATTCAGTCAATAGTACATGTTTATGGAAGAAACAAACAAAATTGCTTAGCTACACTGAGCTTCAATAATTTTTGCTGAACCCAATGACTATTTTGGATTCTTTCTATTTCCTAAACTAGTCTCAAGTTATAAGTTAGGAACTTCAGTAGATACCGCATTAATATTTTGAGTTCCTGAGCTCTAAATGCGATTTAATAACTGGCCATGCCTACCAAATCAGAAAATAGTTTTAGTTTAACAAGAAACCTGATGCAACAATTTCATTTTTAGTGATGAATTCTACAAGAATGCATGGATAAGTGCACAAATATACAAGTAGAGGCTGCCTTTGTTATACTGTTTACAAGAAAAATAGTCAGGACTTGGGCTATATAAACTTGTTATAGGCTTGGTGGGATACATGCAGCCATTAAAAAGATTTCAATATGAAAAAATATCTAGTGCACATTTCAATCTGACTTACACATACACATTCCCCCTATGCATGTACACACAATACACTTGTACATATATGTTGCACACAAATGCATGAGGGGAAGAGTCTAAAAAGAAATCAAACTTTTAATGTTGGGATTGAAAATGAAAGAGCTATTTTACTTTCCACACTTTAAAAATATCTGAATTATCATGCATGTAATCCCAGCACTTTGGGAGGCTGGGGTGGGCAGACCATGAGGCCAAGAGTTCGAGACCAGTCTGGCCAACATGATGAAACTCCGTCTCTGCTAAAAATACAAAAAAAAATTAGCCGGGCAGGTTGGTGTGCACCTGTAATCCCAGCTACCCAGGAGGGTGAGGCAGGGGAATTCCTTGAACAAGGGAGCTGGAGGTTGCAATGGGCTGAGATCATGCCACTGCGCTCCAGCCTGGGCAGGAAAGCAAGACTCTGTCTCAAAAACAAAAACAACAACAATAAATAAATAAATAAAAACGACTATTTTAAAGCTATTAGCACGATCACTACCAATATAAAAAACACAGGGCGTGTCAGATGACTTAGTAACCCCAGAAAACAAAATCAACTGTTGAAGGAAATTTGTAAAACTTTGGTCCTGTAGGAAAATTGGTGATTCCAATGATGGAACCACTTGAACTAGAAAGTAAGTGGCCTTGACCCTTGCCTGAAATATGGCTTTTGGGCTGGGTATGGTGGCTCATGCCTGTAATCCCAGCACTTTGGAAGGTCAAGGCAGGCGGATCACTTAAGGTCAGGATTGGAGACCAGCCTGGCCAACATGGTGAAATGCTGTCTCTGCTAAAAATACAGAAAAAAAAGAAAATAGCCAGGCATGGTGGTGTGCAACTGTAATCCCAGCTACTCAGGAGGCTGAGGCAGGAGAATCGCTTGAACCCGGGAGCAGAGGTTGAAGTGAGCTGAGATCATGCCACTGCACTTCAGCCTGGGTGAAAGAGTGAGATCTGTCTTGAAATAAATAAATAAATACTTTCATTGAAAAGACAGGGGTATAGCAGGGCTTGCCAGCCATGATTAAATGCCACCCATCAGTAAAAAAAAAAATCCTAAAGATGGTATCATAAAGACATTTCTCTTCAAGAAACTTCAAGATGAAAAAATTCAGGAGACATATTTGTGTTTGAATAGGATGGCACACTCTAGTCCTTACTTGACACAAAGTAAGCTCGTGCTCATGTGCAAATGATATCATATTGTTTGTATTCTCCTGTGCTTGGCTTTTTAGCTCAGGCAGTACTGTGGAAACTACATAATAATTTGTTTAGAGATTCCTATGTGTGTACCAAAACTAGAAAGAAAAACAAAAGAGAAGCATGTCTAATGCGGATAACTTCTGAGCTGGGGAGGCAGAAGCATGGACAATGAGATTGGGGCCACACCTGTGGTTGAAGATATGAGTAAGTTTCTGTAAGTTACCAGGTAGGGGATACACAGGTGTTTACTTATGTTATTTGATATGTTATATATGACATTATTATATCTTTTTGCATCTGTAAATATTTTATACATAAAAATGAAAAACATTTCTTTGTGTTAGCAGGTTAAGATTCCGTTAAAAATTGAAAACTAATCAAAAGGAGAAACTTTGCAACCTTGGAGGCCCTCTAGTGCCCAAATCAGATAAGCACAGTTAATGTCTTCAATTCTTTTACATGATTTGCTCAAAATTTCATTTGCTTAAAAACAGAAGTTAAATGAGGTAGGAATGCTATACGCCAGAATGTATTGAAGTTAAGCGGTTCATTTTGACATCAAGTTTTTTAAAAAATGCTGCCATAGTGTTCTTCACTATTTTTGAAGAATGACCCAAAAGAATATGTTTTGATTCTTTAGCAAGAATGTTTCATAAAACATTTCAAAATTTAGATATACTTGTCAAAGAAGAAACAATCCTAAATTGTGGTGCCTGAGGAATATTTTAAATTGGCTTTCTTCCTATATTCTTTTTTTTAGATTGCTAGAATTATTATGTGTAATAGCAATGATTTCCTTGCAGAATGTATGGAAGAATCCAGCCCACTGACTCCTTCCTCAGGACCAAGCATAGCACATGAGGCTTCAAGTTCCTACGTGTAAAAGTGATCCCTCTATTAGTTATCAGCTGTGTCTCAGATACTTTGCAAACGTTATTGAGCCCCCCACGATCACCTCGCCTTGGTGGCTTTTTTTTCCTCACAAGTTTCAGATGAGGAAACTGAGGTCACAGAAACAAAGCGACCTGCTCAAGGACCCCAAGGGATTCAATCCTCAAAATCTCCTTTGTGACAAACTATATTTCTTTTAGGAAGCAGGTGTCTTTCTTCTTCAGCTATGTTCAATAAAAAGCCACATTTAAACTCCTTCATTTATAGTAAAGTCCATCACCATGTTTCATCCTTAATAATGAAATAAGGGAAATAATCATGAATGGAACTCACCAACTTGTGTTTGTATACAGAGGCTTAGAGCACCGCGGCTTGGCTAGGGATAAGAGGTCTCCCAAGGGGTTGTCAACATCATCAGCATTTGCAGACTGCACATGACCACTGTTGGAGTGGAAAGGAAAGAAGACATACGTTCTTTATAAGAAGCACATAAGGAACTATTGAACAGTATTCTAACTTCCAAGGGAAATTTATTTGCCAAAATAGATCAAAGGCTCAAAATGCCAAATGTAAAGCATAGTAATAGGACAATTTTCCTTAAAAAATATAAAGATGAATTTCTCTTCTTCAGCGATGCCATGCTCCTTGGTCTTAAGTTGGAGCCAGAGTGAGAGCAAGGGATGTTTTGTGTTTCTGAGCAAAGAAGCAGCTCTTCCTGCAGCCCCGGCACAACTCCTTTGTTAGAGACTGGCTGGAGGCTGGGCAAGACAGAGGCAGGTGTGTGCCAGAGATAATAAGGCTCCTAGTGGGTGGAAACCCTCACAGGTGCTCAGGAGCTTGGGCAACTAGCCACATGCCCTTGGGCCTGAGAGAAAGTTGAGAGGCTGAGTTGCTGTCAATCAGAGAGGGCTTTGAGGACTTCTGGGGCCACTGGTAGAAACACTACTCAATGGCAGAGGAGAAAAGGCTGAGTAATGGGAGGGGGTGAGCAAGGACTAAAGGTCCAGATCCCTCCTTCATGTTCTTGGATCTACTTTGTTTCAAGGTTCTTCTTCCATCTAAAAACCAGGAGAAGACCCCAAGTGGCAGATAATATACTTTTTTTGCCAGCCATGGAAAGCCAGCATTAAACGTAGAAAATAAGAGGTGACATTTCCTAGACTTCAATGTTAATGAGCGCCTCATCCCTTTTTCAATTATAACTGTTTTTATGATTCATAACACCTAATAGTAGTAGCATCTAAGATATTTTATTTCAAAAAGTAACCTATTTGGGAAAACAGAAAAGTACCACCCCTTCTTTCTCTGTTTCCTTCCTTCCTTCCTTCCTTCCTTCCTTCCTTCCTTCCTTCCTTCCTTCCCTCCTTCCTTCCTTCCTTCCCTCCTTCCTTCCTTCCTTCCTTCCCTCCTTCCTTCCATCCTCCCTCCCTCCCTTCCTCCCTCCCTCTCTTTCTTTCTTTTATCAAAATCAAACCTTAGATAGAACTGCTGACAGTAAACAGGCACTGTGTGCCAGATAAACATGAGAAATCTGTCACAACACATAAGCTGTCTTAAAAAGTGAATTACAACATGAGTGAGCTGAAAGCAACAACAACCAAAATGTAAATCTAATATTTTTTTACAAAACTGAGAAACCAATTACTTACGTATAGAGAGGAACATATTTACTTCGAGAACTTGAACTCACACTTCAAAAAAGAGAAGATATAGGCAATTGGGTTATTTATATTAAGTTAATAAACTTCAAACTATTACAGTGTTTCTCTAGTTAAAAGCCTTCAGAGATATCTCATAGGAATTGTCCTTTAAAGGTTTATAATTTTAAACAGAGACTATTTAAGGATGTAGTTTGTTTTCTCCAGGTGTCAAATAAATTGAACCATATAATAAGTAAACTTTTGGGTCTGATTGCTTTCAAATGTGTTTCAGATTCATATTTATTGTTGTGTGTTGCATGTGTTCTTTTTCATTGCTGAGTAGCATTCCACTGCATGGACATACTCTAGTATGTTATCGGTTTATTTGCTGAAGGACATCTTGGTTGTTTCTAGGTTTTGGAGATTATAAATAAAGCTGTTGCAAATGTTCACATACAGGTTTTTGGGCTGTTGGAGGGAACATTTACTCAAAGGAGGCTTTCACTGTGAATAGTATGCTGAGGAATTCTGAGGTGGTGGCAGTGCTAACACACAGATTTTCATTTGCCAGCTGACTTATAACTAACAAATTAAGTGGATCTATGTAAACTGGAATAAAGAAATTATCATCTCAGTGAGCTCTTTGCCATTTTACACGATATGTAAATTAAAAATACCAGTACAGTTTTAGAACCGACATTCACATGTTAAAAATTAGTACAAAACATGTATATTTTTAAAAAGATATTTGAATGGGATTATCAACAGTTTCAGCTTGCTATATAAACAATAATCTTAAATTTTTAAATATTTCAATCTTTTATTTAAATGATTACCATTCACTTTTTCACATTGGAGTCTAGAGTGGGGTATTTTACACATTTGACAAAACATACTTTAAATATTTTTTATCAAAAATCTTATATATCATTTTTAGATACGGTTCAATAAAATGGTAGTTTTCTGATAAGACTCCATATTCTTCTCTGTATTGTCACTATTTGCGTTTCTAGATCTAGCAGTCAGACTTGAATACAGCATTGTGTATTTCCATTTCTTTCTTTTTTCTACCAATAAGCAAAACATTCCCTTTAAAGGTCACTTTATACTACTTTTATTGAAGTGGTGAAATTGTTAAAGTTTTTAAAAATGGTATCTTTTATATTGATTTTCAATAATTAAAATTTAGATAAAAGACTTCCCATAATTTTGCTGTGGACAAATATCTCCTGCATTTTACTTTAAATTTAATTTAGATGAGGTAAATATAAAGTTAAATGTACAAGATGAACCAGTCCACTGAGGCGATGATCAAATTGATCATCATAAAAGCAGAAAATCAGATAAAATTCCAGGGAACAAAAGATGGACTCACTAATTTTTTTCTGGAACAGCATGTGTTTTTTGTATGTGCTGTCTGTCTGTATCACACTATCCTTCATAACTGCCCACAGTAGTTGTTGAAAACTACATAGTTCCATTTAAAAATTCCATGTGATTCACTTTTATATTTCTTATTCTACTTCATTTTTGCAAAATGCTGACTGTAAAAATGCTCACCATCACTGATCATTAGAGAAGTGCAAATCAAAACCACATTGAGCTATCATCTCACACCAGTTAGAATGGCGGTCATTAAAAAATCTGGAGACAACAGATCCTGGAGAGAATGTGGAGAAATAGGAACACTTTTACACTGTTGGTGGGAGTGTAAATTAGTTCAATCATGTGGAAGACAGTGTGGCAATTCCTCAAGGACCTAGAAGTAGAAATACCATTTGACCCAGCAATCCCATTACTGGGTATATACCCAAAGGACTATAAATCGTTGTGTTATAAAGACACATGCACATGCATGTTCATCATGGCACTGTTTACAACAGCAAAGACCTGGAACCAACCCAAATGCCTATCAGTGATAGACTGGACAAAGAAAATGTGGCACATACACACCATGGAATACTATGCAGCCATAAAAAGTGATGAGTTCACGTCTTTTTTAAGGACATGGATGAACCTAGAAACCATCATTCTCAGCAAACTGACACAAGAACAGAAAATCAAACACCACACATTCTTGTTCATAGGCGGCTGTTGAACAATAAGAACACATGAACAAAGAGACGAGAGCATCAGACACCAGGGTCCAATGGGGGGCGGCTAAGGGAGGGATAGTGGGAGGGAAGGTGGGTAGGGATAAGGTAGGGAAAAATTTCAGGTATAGGTGATGGGGGGATGGAGGCAGCAAACCACCTCAAACCACCTTGCCATGAATGTACCTATGCATCAATCTTGTATGATCTGCACATGTACCCCAGAATCTAAAGTACAAAAAAAAAAATAAAAGATAAATTCCATGTGATTCACTTTTATATTTCCTATTCCACTTCATTTTTGCAAAATGCTGGCTGTGATTCAGCATTCACAGGCTTTAACCAACAGGCTACAAATCACTTATTAAGCTATTTAGTAAGAACCTCTCATTAAACGGAACTAGCATAATTGCTTACTTACGCTGAGAAAATGAATCCCTGGCTCTTATCATAAGAAAACATCAAATGCTTTAAAAATAATAAATGTTGGCCGGGCGCGGTGGCTCAAGCCTGTAATCCCAGCACTTTGGGAGGCCGAGGCGGGTGGATCACGAGGTCAAGAGTTCGAGACCATCCTGGTCAACATGGTGAAACCCCGTCTCTACTACAAATACAAAAAATCAGCTGGGCATGATGGCGCGTGCCTGTAATCCCAGCTACTCAGGAGGCTGAGGCAGGAGAATTGCCTGAACCCAGGAGGTGGAGGTTGCAGTGAGCTGAGATCTCGCCATTGCACCCCAGCCTGGGTAA